TTTGTTCATCGATTAGGCATTAATTATAATGAAAATAGTTGTCGTATTAATAATAATCATATTATTATAGATAATAAAAAACATTTTCTAAGGATATTTCCAATGAAACTATTAGATGGGCAAAAAAAACTAGCAACAATTTAACATGGTATTTTTACTAATTAAGAAACCCCATGATAAACATACAGATTATAGTGTGATTTCCCATAAGAAATACATGTTGTTATCAAAACACTCATCAAAATCAATGACTTTTAAGACTTTCAAATACAGGGTTTGTCTGAAGTATGCGATGATTAGGAGATCTGAAGACATCATTAGAGGAGACAATGGCTTAAAATAATTATAAATAAGACTTTTATATGATTTTTAATTATAAGTACAGTATATCTAGTCTTATAAATCATTTGATCTCATTGATTTTTATGGCATTTAAACTAGCATCACGATCGGTTTTTAGCCACAGCCGTGAATTAATTAACGGGTTTGTACTAAACTCACTAAAAAATGGTAAAATTAAAAATTTAGAGTGTTTGTGACGCTTTTATTCACGATTTTTATTTACATTTTGGTTTTTTAGTTCCTATATAAAGCGCGGGTTGAATAATTCACTGTCTCAAAAATAATGCAGAAATGTTATAAGTTTTATATACTGTATATCTATGTAAGAAAAGCCTTGATATATACGAATTTTTGTGGTTTTATTTATTTATTCATTACTGCGCCCAACTTATTAACACTGTCTCAAAAATAATGCAGAAATGTTATAAGTTTTATATACTGTATATCTATGTAAGAAAAGCCTTGATATATACGAATTTTTGTGGTTTTATTTATTTATTCATTACTACTGAAGTACTATTGAAATTGAAATGTTTAGTTTTGTCGGTAAATTATGTTATGAGACAATTGTTTGGTTTATCTTTATTTTTAATTAAAGTTACTTTTGTTTGAAGTATTGATAATTGTTTTACAGACAAATTGTTAAACATTTTTCTTATTAAAATAATATTGTTTTTGAAATGTTCTATGAATGCAATTATTTTCAATGTTATGCCAAATAAAATCATAACAAAACTAAATTACAATATAATATATATTATAAAAGTGTCTATGTAAAGTGTTTTTATTTATTTAAAACTACATTTTATGTAAATATAATTTACTCAACTAAATAATTAATATAAGAATTATAACAAATATACACATGGACAGTTTTACAATTCATTGAATTAATTATATTTTATTTATTGGTCAGAATATATAGCAAACTTCCCGAAAGTGTAATAATTAATTGTAGGAAATGACACAAATTTAATGCTTGTTATTATGTACTCCATTATAATTCACTTATAATACATGTTTATATAGAGCTCTGAAATTATATATTATAATTTTATATTGTTTTTTAAATCGGAAACAATTTTGTGTATTTATTGATGTCATATAATGTATTAAAATGATTAATTTTATAAAATTGTTTGGTTTTATACGTGTATTATTCAGGAAATAATTATCATTTATTCTGATTGTAATGTAAAATGTTTATCAATTTTATAATTTTGTGTTTGCTTTTTATTTCATCAATCATTTCATATAAAAACTTTGTGTATAATTAAGTTTTGAGTAAAATAATTAAATATCAAAATGTTAGTAAAACTTACACCAAATACCCAGATCAACAAAAATTTAAAATAATAAATAAGCATACTACAAAATATTCTATGTTAAACAATAAACATGATAATAAATTTATATCTGCTGGACACACAATCATATGTTAACAAATGATAATAAAATTATGTTAAAAAATTACCAGAATATTCTTGTATAGACAGCACATGGTTTTATATTAAAAAGTTAAGTGTGCTGATTTATATGATTATTATGACAGGTGCTCCTATTAATAATGCACTACTGTATTATCAGTGTTATATGGTTATGGTATGTCTATCACGTGCAGCACAACTGATGATACATTACATGGATTATTGTGGATATACTCCCAATGAGATTACATGTATTTATGGTGTGATTGAATTCATTTTATAATTCATTTTTAATTTCATTTTTAGAGAGAGAGAGAGTGAGTCTAGAAATGACAATTTTATTTTACCACATATAATTTGAGCTTGAGAATACGTGATATTCAATAAAGAAAAGGAAAATATAAATAATTTGTGGTTAGAATCTAAAAAATTAACTTTCGGGGTTGAAATAATCTTTCTATCTCTTTCAAGAAAAAAAAATAAAAATAAATATTTTGTGTTTTATTTGTATTTTTGTTTGTAGACATTGGAAACGTAAATGCTATTTTTAGTTATATAACAAAATAAACCGAAAGTATTTTATTTTTTGGTAATATTTGATTAAATCGATAAACAATTATTTTATCTTCCCCAAACATTAGCTAAAAATAAAAAAGTATAAATGACTTAATGATAATTTATAAATTAAATCGTTTGAAGTCTCTCTCTCTCTCTCTCTCTCTCTCTCTCTCTCCGGATGCTGGGAGTCATTGGTTTTATGGATAATTTATCAAAAAGTCTGGAAACACATAGAAATATTAATTAAAGAAGAGAGTCTTATGAGAGAGAGAGAGAGAGAGAATTCAATGAACTGATGCGGACGAATTGGTGAAAATTGATTATGCTAATCAGTGCACTAAACAATGTACTCTAGCACTTGTTTTTTCTATTTATAACCTATCACATTTTATTAACGTAATAAAATCAATTAATTTTATGGCGTAATTGAGCATGATATTTTTAGTATAGATACAAAATTTTGGTGTACTAAGCGGCAATGAGCAGGAAATTTATGGATCACTAACCCATTAAATGCATGGTTAATGTTATAATTGCGATTACTTTGTGTCTTAATTTTAATTTTGAGAATTTCACAACACTTGGCATCTAATCGTTTAAAATTATAATTGTATTATCAATAAAATTGAGCATATTAAATATTCTTTAAAATTAACATGTCTGCATATTAAATGTAATTATACATTCACATTTTCCTGCTAAAATAATTATTCAATATATTAAAGTAATTTTAAATTAGATGTTTGACGTATTGCCGCTTAGTACACCAAAATTTTGTATCTATACTAAAAATATCATGCTCAATTACGCCATAAAATTAATTGATTTTATTACGTTAATATACTGTACAATATATTTCATAAAATCTATATATAATGTTGATCACGTTTAATATTGAACAATAATCTGTACGTTTTAATGTCTGGTTAAATTTAATGGTTTTAAACAAATAATACAATGATCAAATTTTTAATACTATTAAATTGACTATCATACTTTGTTCATAAATCATAATAAAATTACATATAATTGAGTTGTAATAGATTTTATTTTTGGTAATTATTAGCCAATCATTATATATTGAGTAAAATCTGGTAAATAAATATATTCCCAGGCAACTTTTCCCACAATATATCATAATTAAAATATAATCAAAGCAATTTATAATTAAATTCATTGTACAACTAATATAATTGGGTTCATAGACAATGAATAGGACAATAAATGACATAAATATATAACAATTAAGGTGAATTTTTTAATTGTTTGTTTTTCATTAAAATATCAACTTATATTTTTACAAATACATTTTGTAAATTACAATGACCGTGGTTATTTATAACTATAGCATAACAAAATAAGCAATATAATATTAATCGCATCTTAATTTAAAAATGTTTTTAATCAATGAATTAAGGTAAAATTCCGTTTACCCGTGCATTACAATTGTATAATAAAATTAATGTCATAAAACATTTTATACAACATAAACAAATCGTAAAATCACTTTTATTTTTCCAACTTATCATTCAGTCGTTTAATTTTGAAGGTCTTATTATATTTCATATACAATGAAATGTCTAAAAATCAATAATAAAAACTCATTTATTAATTTAAATTGTATTTTATAATGTGATGAATGCGCGTCATTAATGCCCATCATTTTCACAATATTATTACCATGTTATTGAATAACAAATACATTATAAAAACATAAGTGTTATTTTAAAGTGAATTGAGAGAGAGAGAGAGCCAACAGAGATCACCAATGGAGTGGAGTCATCACACACACTTGCATAAACCATTCATTGATATAATGTAATTTTTAATTTTTATATTTACTCATAATTCTGGTACATATATGGGGTTTATATGTGTATATAACTTATACCTGTATTTTCATAACCCTTACACTGAAATTCATTAGACTTTATTTTTAGTTACCAAAAAACATGACAAATTATAGTAGAGATACATGTGTTAAACAATAAAATTACAGGTATTTGATGTGTGGTATAAATTAAATATGACTTGACTGATCATAATTCATAAATAATTCGATACGGGTAAAAGGTATTCAAATTGTGCACAAATTCACATTATATAAAGTACAGAATTACAATATTACTTCTATTCACCAAGTGCACAAAAATATACTGTACTTTAATACCTATTACAGTATATCTACTGTACTCTACATCACAATGTTATTTCACATTTTCACCCGAATTTACACTTTAACTAGTGCAAACATATTTTATGCATGTAAATATTAACATTATCAAATACATAAATACAGAGTTTGTGCCAAATAAACTTGCTAATTCAAAATATAATTGAATAATATCAGTATTGTCTCTACCTTAACACACCAATGATGATGATAAAAGACAAGTATGTGATAATTATAAGTTAATTTTACAAATTAATAAATAAATTAATAATTATTAAATTGACAAATAATACTACTTCAATGTATTGTTATTATTTTAATCAAGGTATCAAATGGTATACATTGTACTGTTTCTTCATGGTATAGGGGCACTAATAGCCATTTACATATTAGTAAACGCAAATAGTGTACGTATATTACATTTAATAAATTACCACTTTAAAATTAGTTATATAAAATCTTAACAACAAATAAATATAAAAACTTTTACATTAACAAGTATTTCGTGGACTATAAGCTAAATGTGCGCTACTATTACTCGGAAACGCTTGAAAACTATCGCAAAAACTTTCTCTCATATCTGGGAATCGCGTCAAAAGCGCCAAACATTTTGTTTCAATTCATTAATATGTTCTTCAGCTCAGAGTTAGTCATCATTTGATTTCATTAAAAATAATAATAATCACAATTAAAACACACATTACATATCATTTTGCACCACAGCTACAGATCGCTGTCCACACGGATCTGGGCGTCACTGTTGTTCCAGTCGGTGATCTTTGGCCTAATACTGGCCTTCTCGGCGACGGACACCAGCCGTTGGCCTGAAGTATACTTTTGGCTGATAATGAGCGGCGCGTTTGTGGCCAACATTGCGAACGGCATATTTCAAAGCTGTGTCTACGGGATTGCGGCCAAACTGCCCGTGCGATACACAAACGGCGTGACTATTGGGTTCAATCTGAGCGGTGTTATCGCCGCCGTGTTTATGATAGTGTCCATATCGGTGGCTCAAAATGACCGCGTTGTGGCCATCTATTTGTTTTCATTCGCCATCGCGTATCAAATGTTGTGTTTTTTGGCCGAACTTCTGGTCCGACGAAATGTGAGTGAAATATACCAATAATTACAGAATATTCTTGAAAATACAACATTTTAATACATATTTTATCAATATGATATTAATTACTACATTTTAATATGTTTCATATTACTCACTATTTATTATGTTTTATTTGCATAGAAATTTTACCAATATTATATGATTAATTACGGCGATGGTCAACTGACAAAAAACGATGTTGAAACAATAAAGGGCTGTAATGACCACGATAAAACATCTAAAACAGGAGTTGACATGTATTTATACGTTTTGCGTAAAATATGGCTATTGTTGGTCAATATAATCGTCACGTATTTCATCACGTATTCACTATTTCCGTCACTTCAGGCAAACATCAAACCCGTCGGCCGTATAATCGCCGACAAGTACTTCAGTCCCATATTTTGTTTCCTATTATTTCCCGTTTTCAACACTATTGGCAACTATTTGGCCGAAGTGTCGGCCAAACCATCGGAAACACTATTAACCGTATTGTCTCTCTTAAGGCTATCATTCATACCGTTTTTCCTGCTCTGCAATTACTATCCCTACGACCGACACATGTCTGTACTCGTGGCCAACGACTGGGTTTACATCACGGGTGCGATCTCTATGGCAGTCACCTCCGGATACCTGTCCAGCATATGTATAATGTACTGTCCGGTAGGGGTTGAGCCCCGGTATGCGAGTTTGGCCGGAATGATGGCCTCGTTTTCAATACTCTTTGGCATATTATTAGGCTTTACTTTTTCATTATGCTATCCGTTGGTCATAAAACTGGACATTATTTAGTAAGTGTCACACCAATTATGGTAACTTTTTTTTGCTGTAAATATGAATTTAAATATCACTCCTTTTTATAAGACTTGGTCACAAATATTGATAGTTTTTAATGTATAATTAATTTTATAAATGTTTTTATAAGATTTTGATTAATATTATTGACAAACTTTTTATAATACATACTTAAAATTTGATTGTACTGTCAATTGATAAGACTATTGTAATAAAAAAAAACATACAATTATTTGAAAACTTTTACATTATTTAAAATATTATTCCCAATCAATTGAGAGAAATAAAGTGTTTGTTTTGTAACGCATTGACAGTTAATATGAAAATTGATAAAATGCTAGTAAAAACACAACATTTTTTTCATTGCAACATTAATTCAATGGTATTTATTCAACGGTTTCCTCTAAATATGACCTCATTTTGTGCTCAAAACCACTGCTTGTCATAACACAGACTAAAACTTGTGGTGAATTACAATTACATTAATTAATTTCTATTTTATTTTAGTACTAAAATATTTTTGTATGAAATATATGTTTTAAGAGCTAAACAATTGATTTGAAGACAAGTATATTGTGTTATATTTCACTGGAAAACACTTTCCGATGGGAAATACAGTGAAACTAATTTTATAAATGATTGTTAAAAATTTTCTATTGCTATTAATTTACAATAAGTTGTAAAACAAATATTAATACATTTACTGTATATTGTATGCCACGGAATATCACAAATAAAATGCCATTTAAATTACAACACGTTTGAATATCATATTATTTTGACATTTAATATTATTTAAATTATAATATTAAGAATAATATTAAATTAATTTGAATATTAATTGATGTAATAAAAAATATTTATCCATAAATTAACATTTCAAATCAAAAATGGGTGTAGGTGACAAGTGAGTATTATATAAATTACAATATGTATTATTATATTATTAAATTACATTTAATTAAAGCTATCATTTGGTATATATTGTGATGTTTTTACACGGAATCGGAGCACTCATCGCATGGAATATACTAATTAATGCCGACAGTGTATGTGTCAATCAATTAATACCTAGATTATATTTACAAACAAACAATATTTATAATAAAAACAATTCAATAGCAATTGATTTTAAATTTATAAATCTATATAACAATGACATGTATTTTATAACTACTTGTAGTATTTCGTGGACTATAAGCTCAACGTAACGGACCATAAGTCGGAAACGCTTGAAAACTATCGCAAAAACTTTCTCTCATATCTGGGAATCGCGTCGAAAGCGCCAAACATTTTGTTTCAATTCATTAATATGTTCTTCAGCTCAGAGTTTGTGATAATTACTCATTAAATACACAACAAATGCATATCTCAAACCCAATTGACCACTAACTACAGCTACCAATCCCTGTCTATCCGGATCTGCGTATCACTACTGATGCAAACCATTGTCTTTGTGGTGACGCTAGCGTTGGCGGTCGTGGACTCGAGCCAATGGCCGGAGCTATTCTTCTGGATCACAATGTTGTCGGCGGTTGTCATCAATACGGCTAACGGTGTGTTTCAGGGCTGTGTCTACGGGATTGCGGCCAAACTGCCGGTGCGTTACACCAACGCTGTCACCATTGGGTTCAATCTGAGCGGTGTTATCGCCGCCCTATTACTGATACTCTCCATAGCGATCGCGCCGACGGCCCGAGTAGTGGCCATATATTTCTTTACATTCGCCGTCGTTTACCTCGTGTTTTGTTTGTGTAATGAGCTGTTTGTCCGCCAAAATGTGAGTATTATTTTTACTATGATTAAAATTTTCATGCTTTTAACTCGTGGTTAATTTGTTTAGAAATACTACCTCTTTGTGATGAATGCCAGTAATGATGGCAATAATTGTTACGCAAACTACTCAATGGATGCCATCACCAAAAGTATGGACTCAATAGCACTGGACAGTCGACTACAACAGCCGGCGCCGCAACCCATAGCCGATAACAACGAATTAAAATTGCTAAACAAACCGCCGACTGGCTATCGGCTATACGGCCACGTGTTTCGGCAAATATGGCCGCAATTACTGAACATAATTATCATATATTTTGTCACTTTCTCCATATTTCCTGCGGTGGAGGCGAACATCAAACCCGTCGACAGTATAATCGCCGACAAATACTTTGCGCCCGTATTTTGTTTTCTAATATTCCCGTTGTTTAAGACAATCGGCAACTCTATGGCCGACTGGTTGCCCAAACCGGCGCCCAATCGGATCGTCATCTACTCAATAGCCCGGTGTGCTTTTGTGCCCTTTTTCCTACTTTGTAATTATTTGCCACACGACAGACATGTGTCGGTATTAATACACAGCGACTGGGCTTTTGTATTGGGAGCTGCCCTAATGGCACTGACATCGGGCTATCTGTCCAGCCTATGCATCATGTATTGTCCGGTTAGCGTAGAGCCCAGACACGCGTCCATAGCCTCTATGATGGCATCGTTTACCATATTGTTTGGCATTTTGTTGGGACTTAACTTCTCGCTCGTCTATCCATGGATTGTTAATATGTAGATAATATTTATTTAGTTTGTTTTTTGTAAACATATTTATAATACGTGTTACTATTTATAACTGTTTTATAAGTTTTATTTCTGTGAATTATTTGAAAATATCATTATATACTGTAATTACCCCAATGTCATAATAATAAATATTTTTAAGTTACAAAGTTGGTTATTTTATAGTAATTTTAATGTTTCTTATGCTTTTTATTTTGCGAAACAGTTATATTTATTTAATATCCTTATATTATATATTTATATTTTATATTTAACTAATAAACGTATTATTTATCCCTTATATTAGTCAAAATGCTTGGGTTTATTGTAAATACTTTCTGTCAATAATAATTGTAAACAGAATACAAAGTAAACATATTAAAAATAGCAAAATTACCTGAATCATTTGAAATCAACAATAACACATTTTAATAATTATTCATTATTACACAGTATTATAACAATCATATTTGTCAATTATTAATTAATAAACTCAATATAAAAATATTTGGCTAGAGCATTTGATAACATAAAAATATGCATTTTATATGCAATTAAAAAAAGCACAACGATAAAATTGGGCTCAAAAAACACAAATATCTACATTTTGATCTTGAATTCTGTGTTCATTATAAACGGGTATACATTATAGCCATACAAACACACATACATTGAGGTAAAATACCAAGTGTTTTGAAGGTTAACATTAAGGATAATTATTAATGAAAATCGACAAAAATCCAAATCGTTTGCCTGTTTTTCATCATATAATTTATTTTTTGATCTAAATATTTGTTGCAAACACCGATATTTTGCAAACACGTTCATTACAAATAGCAATACTAACAGTTATACTAGTATTTTTGCAGACATTATAACATGGTATGAATGAAATAAATACACGATTAAATAAAAAAACATTTAATTTTCATTACTTATAAATATTTGTGTATATGTTTTGCAGCCAAATATCATAAATGAAATATATTTATATATTTTATTAATTGGAACACAGAATCAGGTGTTAATAATTGCATGTTGGTGTTTTTATTTATTATTTTAATTTATAATCAAGTGGGTTTTTCTATGAAATTAACAGCGAATATAATTATAATAATTTATATAAAATAATTAATTAAATGATTATTAACTTTTCAATTGTTTTGTTTATAAACTGCAGACAAATATAATTGTATTTTTATTAATAATAATTATCACAAGTATTTACAGGAAAGTTGTATTAAATTATTATTTTATATCATTTGATAACTAGAGGAAAATTAATAAAATTCATTAACAAAATTATTGCATAACTCTCTCTCTCTCTCTCTCTCTCTCTCTCT